CAGTAAGAAACCTTTTCCCACATAGCAATGACTTGGTCAAGCTAAGGTAAGGGATTTCCCTGTGCTGCCCGGACACCACCGCACAGCTGCTCTCCACAAAGGTGGGGCAGGAGAAAGGGAGGAAGTCAGGAGGTGGTGCACAGGAGAGCTGGGTGAGGATGAGTCAGGAGGTGAACAACAGCCGTACTTCCTGGGCAGGACAGCCAGAGCATCTCAAGAACGCGGTGGATGCAGGAGGTGGGAGCAGCTGAACCCAGGGAAGCTCATCTGAAAGGCAGCTCTTACAGCAGAGACCACAGTGTGACAGCGGGCGGCTGTGCTGGGATGAGGGCCCAGCAGGGAGCACAAGGCCCAACCAGCTCAGAACAAAACAGCTCTTGGTTCTGATATCAGAAAAAGGGAGAAAGTGTGTTGACTGTGGCATTTCTCTGATACTTTTTAATACTTTTATGCCCATGTAGTAGAAATAATAGAAGCCAGACAACACACAGCAGCTAACAGAGTCCACTGGTTGCAAAAGTTAGCAAGTAGCCCACGCAGCTTCTGCACTCCCAAGTAGTAAAGACACTTCCACGAGGGTAATAACACCACTGCAGTCTGCCAAGAGCTTCTTGGATAACAGAACAACAGGGAAGCAACTGAATTCCAACAGATAAGAATAGGTTTAAGAGAACCTTTTCTCTCCAAAGGGCCTATCCCTGGGTGCTGATGTAAGCCTTTCTCATACTATTTAATCAAAACCTTGAATATGCAAAGTGTCTTTGTTCAGAAAGTCAGTAACAGCACAAGCCAGTGCCTTCTTGCCAAGGTAGGCCTGATTATTGCTAGCTTTGTACAGGGGTTGGACTACTCTCCAAATACTTATTTTTGTAAAACAAACATACACACCAGTTCTGAGAACTGCTGCTTTGATTTTTCCCCCCTTCCCTCAAGTTCTGAGCTGTTCACTCCTCAGAACAACAACTGTTTAATTAGGCACAAAATGGCCTATAACACAGCTTTAATGCTTTCCAGTAGTAGCACACCATCTAGATCTAGAAACCAGATTAAAAAAAAAACAACCAGACTGATGTATTGCATTACAACAGCTCTTTAGGAAAAGGAAACAGACTGATTTGTCACATATAAGCCATGTGTTGTGGCAGCAACCAGAACCAAAAGGTAAGCAAGAAATCTGACAACTAATAAGCTGACACGGTAAGAGATCCCAGGCAGGTCTCCATCAGCAGAACCACTGCAATTTATGCCAGAACACTGCTTTTTAAGCACAGTAAGCTCATTCCCAGGGTTGCACAAGGTCCTTGGCAAAGTACATACAAGAGCCAGAAATTTAGCAAGAAAGATGACCTCTTACCTTTTCAATCCCTTCCTCACCAGATGCTGCAACTGAACTCAATTAGGTTTTACTGAAACAAAGGATTCTTTTGTAGATCCAAATGTTCATTTACATGTTAATTGTTACACATTAGTAATACATACAATCTTAAGTAGCAGATCTAAACATACAAACATTTCTGATGCTGAAACCAGGAATAGAAAAATACAAGAAATCCTTTCTCCTCGGATATAACCTGGATAGGACCACACATGACCTTTTACATCAGTGTCACTCTCTTAATTCCTAGAAGCTGGGAAGAAATCAAACTGGTATTGCCAAAAGAAAATTAAGCAGTTAATGTCATTACAAAAGGAGCTGAGAAAACTTCACCAAAGATGTGTGCAACTGCTTAATGCTTCAAGTGTGACAACGTACTTCAAGATGAGGTTACTGCTAACGTTCTTACTGAGAACTTTTTGGGGAACAGGCAAGTTGAGCTGACACTTTCACTTGCTAGCTGTCACAGCAGCTCAAAGAAGACTGTCTCAGCTTTCCCCTCCCATACAGGCAGCAACACCTTAAGACCAAGGCAGTAAGACTGGGGCAAGCTAAGGGAAATGCCTGTAAAGAGTTCAGTTACAAGCTACTAATGCCATTCTCACCCCATTTCCCTTACCATAAAGTGGTTACACAAAGACAAGGAAAAAAAAAAAGCAATTCTGGAAAGCAAAGACTTAGGAAAATGCTCAGGATGTATACAATATACAGTCACATGTTCAGTCTTTATTAGCATCAAAAGCTGCATTTGGGTAGTATTCTGCCTACACTAATGTTTTCTGAAGCCTGCTAACATGCACCATATATCTATAAACTGTTCTAGAGGTCCAGACTCGCAAGAAGCAGAGAATATGCACAGTGCAGATTTAAACCAAACTCAAGAATGAATCACTAGTTTTGCTACTGAACATGCTACTGTGTTTTGCTCTATTTTATGTATCAGCCAGACAGGAATACCATATAGCTGGAAGATTTTCCTGTGAATGCACCTCTAGACATAATGCAAAGCACATGCGGCTGCCCTCCCTGCTATCCCACTTTTGGCAGAGAGTAAGGTTTGAGCTTATGCTACTGTCTGCAGCACCAGACAGGAAAGCACTCTTCAAATACAGAAACATCAGTGTCTTGCTTGAGAATTTCATACAGGAAGAAAATGTAAGATGGTATATTTAAGACAGTATAAGGTCCCTTACACAAACTATTTTAGGAACAAACCCTGAAGCCAAGCAAGTCCTTTCAGGGCAACTAAGAAACAGCATTTCTGCAGACTTTCCTGAGCATTATGTGTAACCAAGACCATGCTCAGCATGAGGCTAGATTGAACAATAAATATTTGACCTCTACTCATATCAAGCTGTTTTGAAATTAGGCATCATCTGGCAGGGTTTCCACCCCCCAGATCAGGCTGACCAAGGGTCCCAACCAACCTGGCTGCAAACACTGTTAAGGATGGGACATCCACAGCTTCTCCAGGCAGCCTGTACCATGGCCTCACCGTGTAAATAATTCCTTCCTTACAGATATTAGGAGGAAATCCTTGCCCAAAGAGTCAGTCTATGGATGCCCAAGCCGTGAAGGCAGCAAAGGCCAAGTTGGTTGGAGTCCCAGGCAGCCTGATCTGGAGGCTGGCAACCCTGCTAACAGTAATGGCATGGAACTTGGATGATCGTTAAGGTCCCTTCCAACCCAAGCCATTCTGTGATTCTACGCTGTTGAATTTAAAAAGCTGCAATGCTAAGTTTAACAAAAGGAACGCATTCCAGTAGTTATCAGGTGTTCCTTAAGGCTGTCAGCCGTAGGGCAGTTTCACCCTGCTGTTTCTCACTCCCACCTCATACTGCAGCAAAAAGCCACAGAACAGCTCACCCATTCCATGACTGCATAAGTCCTTCTGAAACCCCACCATCAACTAGATATAGATATTGACTGGATTAAAAATAAACCAGCAAAAAAGAGCACACATATTGCTGAGCTGCACACAGCTGCACGGCCTCACCAGCAGACATAAGAAGGGCACAATGGCTGAAAGAGGAATATTTGCACAAGTGTCACCATCACATGCTCTGCTGCATCAAAGTGCCTGAAGAGCACAAAACAAATGTATTTGATGTCAGTGCTAGCATTTCTCCCCCTCCAAAGAAATCAAAGCTGTCAAGAGAAAAAAAAAAAAAAAAAAAAAGAAAAAAAAAAAAAAAAAAAAAAAAAAAAAAAAGAGGGAAATAACTTCTCAAAGAGCTCAGAAAAGCATATAACATTTCAGGATGCGAGCAGTGTGATTCATATTGGTAACCAGCCATTAGAAATCCCAGCAGACAGCCCTGCTGCCAGCTGGTTACACAGAGCTACCTGCTGAAGGGTCACCAACCGCTGTCTGCAGAGAGCTCTGAGTCGAAGCAGTACTTGCAAAACAACAATCTTCATTGGTTGAAATGTAATGGCTGCGTAAGGACAACCACAGAAGTACTCACGTAATTCAGGACTACTTCAATACCAAATCAAAACCACAACAGTAGTAGCCTGAACTGCTCACAGAAGAGGATAACTTGTTAATTTCTTCAGTTTGAAAAAGTAAAATTGGTTGAGCTTGTTACCATTTCCTAGTAACACGTATTGACAAGAACCATATTTCGATTCAATCCTTTCGTTGGAAGGGAACCGCTGGGGCCCGCTGCAAACTGACCGCGGGGAGAGGTGCGCTGATCCGAGCAGCACCGGCAGCGGTCAGGCAGCTCTGGCACCAGGCAGCCCCGGCCTCACCCAGCGCCCAGCAGCAGCTGCACAGCAATCACAGCCGGGAGCCCACAGGTACCACAATCACCCTGACGAAAGGAGCGCCGCGAAACAAAGGTGAGGGCAAAAGCCGATTGCAATCTCCAAGTAAACAATCAGCTCACGGCCGGCATGCCGGGCTCTCCCTCCCAAAGCCCGTCACCAAGAGCAGGGCTGCAGCGAGCGAGGAGCCATCCCATCCCATCCGTGGGGCAGGAATCCCGGCTCCCCGAGCCCCGCAGCGCTGTATTTGCACAGCGAACGGCAGAGCCTCGACCGCCGCCGGCACAGGTGTGCGGGGCCGCGCCTGGGCAGGTGGGGCCGGGAGGGGGGAGGGGACGTCAGCGAGCACCCCGAGCTGTAGCAACAGGAAGGAGCACAAAAGTTTTTCTTTTTACAGTGCCTTTACTCAGATCTTCAGGGCTCCGCTTCAGAACCACGCTCATAACCAATGACTCACTTCCAGCCCGGTTGGTTACCATACCGGAGTTCTTGCTCCTTACTCCAAGTCCTCCACACGGGGTATCGGAGTCACACCTGCGTTACTCCATTCCGAAACCTATGACGAACCGGCAGGAGCCGGCGGCAACCAGCAAGACAAACTCGGCTGAGGACCCGGCCCGCCCGGCCCGCCGCGCCCCTCACCCCCACCCGGCAGCTCGCTGCGCGGACCGTCCCCGGCACGGCACGGGGGGCACGCGGACCCGGAACACCCCGGCGCCCCGGCAAGGGAGCTCCGAGCCCCGCCGGTGCCGCCCCTCGCCGGCCGCGGGTCTCGGCTCGACGGCGGCACCGCGCGCACCCCGCCTCCCCCCGGCGGGACCCCGCGAAACGAACCGCCCCGGCCCGCGCCTACCATCGCGGCTCCCGCGCTGCGCTGCCCACGGCTCCGCTCAGACGCGCCGGCGCCCCGGGACGGACGAGGCCGGCGGCGGGCCCGCCCCCCGCGCGCGGGGCGGTGCGGACGGGTGGGGCGGGGAGCGCCGGGGCTCGCGGCAGACGGGGCAGGGCCGAGCGGCGCGGGCGGCTTGCCCCTTCCTGGCCGCGCGGGCGCCGTGTCCATAAATGGAGAACTCGGCACGGCGCAGCCAATGGCCGCGCGCCGGAACGTCATTCCCTGAGGGAATCCCGACGCGGCCCCTCGCGCCCCGCCCGTTGCCCGCCGCCCGGCGGGGTCCGGGGGCACCGGCAGCGCCGTGCCCTCCTCTCCTTCCACGTGAACGACCCGCGGGGCGGCACGTCTCAGCCCGCCGGAAAGCACTCAACTTTTTGCCGCGCGCCCCTCGCGAGCGGAAAAGCCGAGCAGCTCCTGGGCCGCCTACAGCGGCGATACCGCACCCGGCGGTCGGAGCGCCCAGCAGCCCCTCACCGTCCGTCCGTCCCGGAGCGCTCGGCAAAGCGCTCCCAACAGGTGCATGGCTTCTTATTTTTGCATCGTTTTCTATTGCTGGCAGTAAGCAGAGAGCAAAAGCCGCACGGGGGTGCCTGGCGCTGCATAGGGGCTGTGACGAAAAACAGTGAAGAGCCGCAAGCACCCAGAGAGCAGGAATAGGGGAGGCATGACAAAGAGAACCTACATCAGCATTACTGGTTTTTCTGTTTGCTTCCGATGCGGGTGTTTTTAATGCCTGGTTTGCAGTTGCGTGTAGGTACAGACGGGCACCTTTGTAACAAGTTATGAAAAAAAGCACAGAAATTACATTGCAGAACACTCAAGAAGTGTCTCAGCACAGGACAGCCAGCTGAGAGCAGCGCTGCTGGGGCCCACTTGCTCCCAAAGCACTCCCAGAGGACTACTAAGAAAAATTTTAGGGCCAAAGTTGTCCTCACTCTACTTTGCACCAACCTTTGCCCTTTGCGCACCAAGTACACTCTATTTCACAATAAACACTTTTTGTGCTTTTAAATGTAGTGGTTTACTTCTGCTTGTTTTAATGATAAATATGGAATTCCCAGGCTGGCTGTGTGGAGTGAATAACACTTTTTCACCACCCAGCTCAGCAGCAGGGGAGGCATTTCCCTTACGATGTCCTCAGTGTGCAGGGCGGCCAGCGTGCCTGAACTGCTCGGCCAACCTGCACTGCACTCAGCTGGGGAATAATAGACTTGCTCAGGTTGGAAAAGACCTTAAAGATTGAGTCCAACCACAACCTAACCATACTGCCCTAACAACCACTGCTAAATCATGTCCCTGAGCACAACATCCAAATGGTTTTTAAACACATCCAGGGACGGTGACTCAACCACCTCCCTGAGGAGCCTATTCCAGCGCTTCACAACCCTTTTTGTAAAGAAGCTTTTCCTGATATCCAATCTAAACTTACCTTGGCACTTACCTTGAGGCCATTTCCCCTCATCCTGTCACCAGTGAGCAGAGACCAACCCTGCTCTCTCTGCAATCACCTTTCAGATATTGGAAGAGAGCAATAAGGTCTCCCCTCAGCCTCCTCTTCCCAGACTAAACAGCCCCAGTTCCTTCAGTCTCTCCTCATAGGACGCATTCTCCAAGCCCTTCACAAGCCTTGTTGCCCTTCTTTGGACCTGCTCCAGCACCTCAATGTCCTCTGTGCACTGAGGCGCCCAAAACTGAACACGGTACTCGAGGTGAGGCCTCACCAGTGCCGAGTACAGGGGCAGGGTGACTTCCCTAGTCCTGCTCACCACAGCATCCCTGATACAAGCCAGGATGCCATTGGCCCTCTTGGCCACCTGGGCACACTGCTGCCTCATATTCAGCCAACTGTCCATCAGTTCACCAAGGTCCCTTTCCATCAGGCAGCTTTCCAGCCACTCGCATCTGAAGGGGCTCCAGCAGAGCTAAGGAGGAGTCTGCATGAGGAGAACCCACCCACCTCTGCCCACTGCTGCCTGCACACAGCCAGCAGCTCTGGGTGGGAGCTGGGCTCGTGCTTAGCGGCTACAGACCGAACTGTTGGCAAAGGTACCACCTGTGGAGCACAGTGGAATGCAGCTGCCCCTGCTCTTCCTTCTAAAAAAGTGTTCTGTGTTTTCAGAAAGAAAGAGCTCTACTGTGAGTGATCAATCTGGAAAAGATCTGAAACTGTAATGCACAGGCACTGCCCTGACCTTTAATTGACAAACACAGAAGTCAGTGAGGAAAAAAATAAAGACGTTACTGCTTTTCAAATATATTTAGAGTAAGTTTTCCAAATGCTGCATTTGTGTTCCATTGATCAGAATAATTTCATTAATCATCTAATTAAAGCCTGTAGGCCACTAAAAATGGCTTAATGACATTACCAAGAAATCATCCACACACTTAGAAAACCACAAAGCTGTTTTTTCTTAGAAAGATGAAGGATAGGAAAACAAATGGCATTAGACTGAGGACATTTAACAAATTCATCGCAGATACTTCTGCTGGATCTGCTTTCCAAAGAACGAACACAGACTTCATCAGTCTTCACATTTTCTGCTAAAATGCAGCTGGCTTCATTCTGCCCTCAGTTACGTTCTGCGGTGTAGAGTGCTACTTACAGAAAATGAAATAAGGATTCAACACTTCTTGTGAAATACAGGGAGAAATAAATGGCAAATACAAAACAAAACCAGAAGGTCTGACATTAAATGCAGCATCACATCAGTGACTAGGACAGGCTTTCCATGCAGGACAGCAGCAGTGAAACTCTCCGTTCTCTAACATTGCATCCCCCTGCTCTGCTGGCCTCACACTAAGGAAGCACACTGCTCGATGTGCTTGGTACCACATTCAAGGTGCCCTCTGACATATCATCAGAGGAACACAGGAAGGAGGCCAGCAGCCTCCTTCACCTCTGTTTCTCTGAGGAGAATCTCATAGCTCTTTTGCTCTAGGGCTCATTAAGAGAAGCTTCAGACTCAAGAGAGACTCCAAATTCATGGAGGTGAATATTTCTCCATCTGCAAACCAGGCGGTATGAATGGGTGTTATTCTCAGGGCTAATAGGAACCTTCAAGAAAATAAATCTATTTGTTCATTATCAATTACACTGAAGATATAATTACATCAACTACAAGAGCTTAGCACTGCTTTAGTTAGAAGCATCAGGGAAGCCACGTGACTATACTGACAGCAGTCTCTGTACAGGTCAGAGGGATGCTCTCACCAGTGCCCCATTCCCAGCAGCCTGGCTGCAGGGCCTGCACTGCTGTGTGCTGCTGCCAGGGCAAAGCCTGCACAGAGAGGCACTGAGCACAGGCACACGACTCAGTGCTAACAACATGCTGCAGGAAGGACACAAACTCTGTCTTTAAAACAAAATAGCCTAAGCTGATCTACTGTGAGTGATGTTTTGCTCAGCTCTTACAGTCACATACATAGACAAGAGAACACAATATATACAGGCAGTTCTTTAATAAGAAAAATCCTGGACCAAGTGCATGGCAACCACACAGCTGTGTGCAGTTAGCAAGGCATTTGCAGGGCTAGAGACAGCACCTGTGTACCCAATGAGGGCAGCAGAAGGTCGGTGTTGGGAACTGACAACAGCCCCTGCAGGAAAAACCAACACAGGGCAAAGCTGAGCTCTGCACATTGCTGCACGGTGGGTGAGCAGCAACGCAAATGGAAGCAGGTGGGGTTCTGATTGGGTGTAAAGGGAACATCTCCCCGTGTGCTGCCAGCAGGCTGTGCGGCCGCTACCCCTGGTGGCTTTTAGCAGGAGCAGGCCCTGGCCCCAAGGGTGCAGCTACATGGAACAGAAGCTGGATAAGAGCCCTCCGTAGGTGGGGTGGCACCACGTTAGTCACAGGCTGTTCCGAAAGCACCCACGGTGTGTTTTTGTCTCTAGCCTCTAACCCTAATACATATTGACCCCTTTACTTTAAGAACTGCAGGTTAGCCCCTGCCTTGCTCTTTATATGGGTGCACGCACACTCTGCGGTGCTTCTCCCGTTTGCAGCATCCTTCTAACACAGATGCTGTGCTGCTGCACAGGGATTGCTCAGCCCACACCAAACAGCCCATGCTTACCCAAAGGTGACTGTACTGAAGCCCACCACAGCAGCAGGCAGAGCTGAGGTGTGGACACACCTTTCGTGTGTTCTGCCTTTCCAGCAGCACCTCTTAGCTCGTACAGCAGAGAGCACCTGTTGTGGGACACAAAGTTTCACTGCAGCTACACGCCAGGACGGTGTTTGGAGACACATCGCAGCGTTATACTCTACCGGGGTCTGCCGCTCCTCCGGAGGAACACCCCGCTCCGAGTGCTGCCGCGGGCAGGGTGAACCCCGCTGCCGTGCGCGCCCCCGGAGGGGCGGGAGAACCGCGGCAGCGGGGCGGGAGCGGCTAGGGCGGGCGCTGCCTATAAATACGGCTGCGGCGCGCCCCCCGCCGCTCCGTTCCCATGGTGACAGCGTCCTGGCAACGGCGGCAGCTCCCGCAGCCCGGCCTGCGTCGGGCCCGCGCCGCTCCCCGTACCGGACGGACGGACGGACAGGCAGACAGGGTAGGACAGGCGCTGGGGGCAAGCGCGGAGCGTCGCGGTCGGAGCGCGGCGAGGAGCGGGACCCGCGGGGCGCGGAGGAGAGGTGCGCAGCCCCCGCCCGCCGCAGTGGTGAGTGCCGCCCCTCCGGGCCCGAGCCCCCTCGGCGTAGCCGCCCGCCCCCGCGCCACCCGTAACCCGACGGCGGGGCCGGCCGCCCCCTCGGGCCGCCGCCCGGCACCCAGCGCCCAGCCGAGGGCGGACCGGGGCGGGGCGGGCCGGTCCCGGCCCCCTCCCCTGCTCCGCCCCGCACGGCCCGGCCGGAGCTCCGCGCTGCGAGGCCGCCCCCAAAGGAGCCGCCCCCCGCCGCCCTTGCACCCGCTTCTGCTTTGGGTGCAAACGGGTCTCGGAGCCTCGCCGGGCGCGCACCCCCTCGGCTGCGTTTCCCGTGTGCCCGGTGCCGAAGTGCCGAGCCGTGCTGCCCCTGCGCTTCGCTTCCCTACCGGCGGCACAGGGAAAATCGCCCTTTCTCGTGTCGACGTGACAAGTGCATTTGGAATAGCTGGCAATTTAATCCGAAAATACCGGATTCACGTATTGCGATTTAAATGGCCACAGCAGTATGAAGCAGGAGGCAACTCCGTTTACAGTGACAACCATGCACTTGAAGCCTGTATTTCAGCCGGTATCTAAGCTGATCCCAGTTTAGCACCATTTAATTGGGATCCGTGTGAAATCACACTCCCCCAGTTCTAGACTTTGGAACATTTATTTTTTCTTTGATTTGCTGTTTATTAGGCTAAATGAGAAGAAATATGGCATCAGTCCTGACAGCTTCGTGGAACTGCTAACTGCAATACCTCCAAACTGCAATAAAGTTTTGCACAGCTGCTGAACAAGACCTTGGTACATCCCCTCAGGATGTTGGGTCAGATCAAGAAAGCTGCCAATTGGCTCTGAGATTTCCACATGTACTTAGAGATGTGCTCAAATTAACAAAAGATTGGGAAGCCCACCTGTGCACACTGTTTCCGCAGACACCCACGTTCTGCTGGCTGTCTAGTGGCAGTCTGGCAGAAAAAGTGACATCTTCATGCAATCCTATGCTTCCAGTGCTCCAAAAATGGTTGTCATTTGGTATGAAATATGTACCAAAGGCCCTAAGATGAAAGCGCTTCAGTTGTGGGTTTCCTGTTTTGCTGTTTTTTTATAAGGAGTGTTTCACTAAGACATCACTGGACGTACAGTCCCCAACATCTGATCTTTGTTTTTTTAGGTAGTATCTGGTGCCTTGCTGCTGTGATATGCATAGCTCTACCAAAATCAGTGGGATATTGCCACGTTCATAGCTTTGTGTTCAAATCCTGCATCAAGATCACTGAGTTGTGCCGTGGCCCAGAGCACGAGGAGCCCAGAGCTCAGAGCTAGCAGCTTGGGCTCCTCAGGCTGCTGTGTGACCTCGTGGGACAGCCAGGCACTCCCCATGGACAGAGGCACTGCTTGAACACCTGGGGAGCACCGTGTGCAGGAACAGACTGCAGGCCTGGGGCAGGGCAGTGCAATCCTGAATGCGGACGCCAGCACCATGATACCCAGCTCTTGTACAGGGCTTTCTACTTACAGGCATGCAAGAACCTAAATGAAGAGGTAGGTGCTATAATCTGTTTTCCATAAAGGGAAACTGAGTCACTGGGCATGGAAATAACTGATCCAAAAGCATCAGGATCACAGAGCGAGCAAGGAACTGAAATCAGACCTTCTGAATTACAGTTGTGTTACTGCTGCTCAGCAGCTCAGCCTCTATTCAAACTGTGTTTTTTTTCTTTTCTAATTTGTAGTTTCTGAAGCACTGTGCTATAAATAGAACATGCATACTGTGGCAATGTTTGCTCTCTTTTTAGGCAGTGCTTTTATAAGTTCCTGAAGCACAAACATGCTTGGCATTTTGAGATCTTGGAGAATAGTTCTATTACTTTTCTACAATTAAAATTGTATGATTTTGTTTCAATAAACCCATTCTGTCCTCTCTGTTTGTGCAACATATTGCATTAGCAACTGCAGAATTCTTTCTGCACGCAAGCCTTTAGTTTTCAATAAGCATTTAGGCTCAGACCTCCAATAGGACAGCCATGCTCAATCATGCCATCTTCACAGTTTAAAATATATATTTGCTTTGTATGGGGTGGAATAGTTGGATTTGATTTTGTCTATAAGCTTTTTGTTTAAATTTCTGACAATGGAGCAAAGCTCCAGTCTGGTCTCACAGTGAGATACCTGGAATATCTTTTTGAAGCTATTAACAGAGCTGCTCTGCTGCAAAGTCTGCCACAATCTGGCTGGCTACATCTAAAAAATTTAAACAGAATTTATAGTCTGACTATGTAAGAATTTACTATATAAAGTGTGGACATTTAGATTTGAAAAAATAAATGAATAAAAGGTTCGGTTTTCCCAATCTACACTGATCTCTAACATTTTACTGAGGTTTCCTGAAAAACACCTTACCCACAGTAACTTGCTGTCACGAAGAATTTTCATGTCATTGTCTAGCCAATGCATTCCTAAGCTTTACTATAATCCCTCATTTCTCACTTTTGTATTTGTTGATCGATGGTGTCTGGGACCAGCAGACAGATCTAGGACAAGAAGTTTGTCTCTGTCCTGCCAAACCAGTTCTGTGGGTTGAGCAGATTTCAGTTTTAAAGCTGTCAACCATTCCCTTTGCAAGAGTATCACTTTCACTATAGAAGCTTTTCAGTAGGTTTTACTTTCCATTATTCTGTTTCTTTATATCTATTTTTATATGCATTTATTCTATAAGCAATTTAAACTCCGAGATCAGACCTGTCAGTGTAATCTTAAACTTTACTTGGAGGTTCACTTCAGCAGGAGCATTAAATCATCTCAGTGCCAAATATAAACCATTAAATAATTCAATGTGTACTTTTTCAACAGACATAAATTATTGACCAGAAAATGGCCCAACGAAGCCCAATCTTCCCAACTCTCGCCCATTCTGAAAGGTACAACTGGAATGTGAAAAATAAAACCTTCGTATTGTGGAGTATTATGTGCCTCTCTTCCTCTCTTAATTGTTTGTTTATGGTAATGCTGTAGCTTGGATCTTTGGAATTTCATATGCAAACAAGCTGAAATACTGTAGACTCCTTCAAATCATACCCAGATCACAATTCCTTATTCAGCTTTTACTTAAACTTTCCTGAATGAAATTCTTTAAACTCTAACTGAATAGAAGTCCAAAAATACTATGCTTAAACCAAAGTCTTCTAACTATAGAGAAAATGTGAAAGCTCACAGCCAGAGCTGACTGTCCTCTTATATCTCTATCAATGTTATTGGGGTGAAAGTAAATTGTCAGTCTGGTTCACTAGCAGAATCAATGTGGACTATACACAGTGAATAGCAGAGTTATGAGAACAAAAATCTCTTTCAAAGTGGTGTTGAACTTTTATCTTCTACCTTAGGCTTCTGAAAGTGTTCTTTTCTCTTTACAGAACAGGGAAAGATTGCATGCATCCACAGTCTATTTTTTTTTCCACTTCAAGTATCCATGAGCTCCCATTGATTTCATGGAAGCTATGTAGTGCAGAGCTTTTCTGAAAAACGTAGACCTAAATGTCAGCTTTCTTTAAAGGATAAAAATGAATGTGACTTCCGTGGCTGCAAAGCTTGTCATTAGTTTTGATCTCTCCTCAGTTTCTTCACCTGTGTATCCTCCTGTCCCGTTCATGTGAGGACAAGCTTCTGTATGCTATTACAGGGCAGATGTATTGACTGCAAAAAGGCATGGACGCAAGCTCCTTCTTTTTAATCGTGTTCTGGTTTGCTGTATCTCCCTTTCACAGTTTCTGCTTTGATTAAGCCTGAATAAAGATGAAAACTGTAGAGACAAAAAGCATTACTTCTGAAACTCAGTAAGAGGGTCTTGGGTTTGGGTTCTTAATCAAACTATAGTTCAGAACTGTAACTCTTTATAATGCTAATGTCCTCTTCTTAAGATCCTATGTCTCTGTAAAGCTTCTTTAAACTGTAGGAAAAAGAGCCTGACCTGCCTTTGTACGGACAGAGGCAGCAGCAAACAACATCCATTCATCTGTAGCAGCCGGCCTTTGTAAGTGCTTTGGTGTTTCTCCCCAGTGCTGCCACTAAGATAATCTCGTACTGTCTCAGCAGAAAGATGCTATGGAGATTTGTGTCAGACCCAAATCATATCTGAACATTCTTCTCCATCAGACGGGTTCGAAACATCCCGCTGCACAGCCAGGCGCTGACAGCGGTCCCGCTGGCATCTGCGAGCCTGGTGGATCAGCTGGAGGACAGAATCCTCAGCCATGAGAAAACCACGGCAGCGCTTGTGGAACACGCTTTTCGCATCAAGGAGGACATTGTTTCCACTCTGCACAGAATGCAGAACAAAGGGGGGGGCGATCGGTTAGCAAGGCAGCTCCTAGAAGAACACATCCGGAACATAACCGCCATCGTGAGGCAGCTCAACCGGGACATTGAGGTATGCGAGGAATTTTTCACTGGACTAATACTGTTTCAGCTACTTAGTCCTTCTGATTTAACAACGGTTTACCACAGGATGAGAAAGTTCAGGCAAGGTCTAAAGATCCCGTAAGCTTATAAATTGTTTTTATAACTGTAAAAACTGTTTGCAAATTATGCAATTCCTCCAGTGGCTATGAAAATAATACAGGATATTAGCATGTAAACACAGAAATCTTTGTGGTACTAATGAGCTTGCTTTGAAAAGCAACACTGGAAAACCTTGGCAAAACGAATTAACGTGGTACTAATACCCAGCTCAACTCCAGTCCAAAGGCTGTGCTGTATAAACACTAGGAAATGCCTTAAGTCTGTATTAAACTTTCTTTCACTTTGACTCACTGACAACACCAAGCAGCCCAACCCAACTGCTCATTTTTCTGACTAATCACGGCCTCTGCTTGATGAGCAACATGGGTGTGGTGGGAAAAACTGATGGGTAAATGTTAATATCTTCATTCCACTGAAAAGTTGTATTTAATAGGTTATGGTGTGGATTTTCAGAATAAGAAATGTTAGGTAACATGGAGGTACCTGTATCAGTACGTACCAGCCTCTATTAAAGTCACAATAAAATGATACCTGGTCTTACTGAAATACTGAAAAATTACGAGTGACATTTAAAAGGTACATTAAATGTAGCATAATGAATTTGTATTTGCATGTGAATACTTTGTAGATGCTGCAAGAACAGATACGTGTCAGAGACAATCTCAGCTATGGAACAAATTCTACCCTAAAGAGCCTGGAAATGCGGCAGCTTTCTGGTTTAGGGGATCTTCGTGGAAGAGTGGCAAGGTAAATGTCATTACGAATGTATATTTTTGGGACTAACTAATGTTGCTTTAATCTTGAATTACGAATGTCAATGCTAATGGGCTGAATTCTACTTTGGCAAAATTCCCAGGATAATTTTGCTCGGTGTTTTCAAGAAAATTAACAGTAATCCTTTGCATCTCTCATCATATTAAACTTAACAATATGTCCCATAATTCTTGAGATTAATTTTTAACAAGTGACCTCAAATTCCATATAAATTTGGATTTTGTTCAATTTTTAAAAGTACTGTGGTTAGACAGTCTTTGTAGTTTGTCTTTGAGACTAATTAGCAAAATTACTGTAAAGGAGGCATGGAACAATCTGCGCTTGTAAAGAACATAATAGTTGCACATTTTGGCAGACATTTTAGAAGTAGAAATATGTGTGTGAAATTACTGGTTAACCATATTAAAACCTACGTAGGCCACCTGACGTGTAAAGAACAGACAGCTATAAAATAATAGAGGTTTGAGGGCTGCTTCAAACTCCAGCTTGCAGCTGTGCAATTACACAGACTTCAGGCTGAATTGTAAATGTGCTGGTGACGGCACAAAGTACATTTGTCTCAGTGTCTGTAAAGTGTAACATAAAAGATGGTTTAGCACAGCTATAGAAAAAGGACCTAGTCTCTCCTGGAATATCTTGGCTAACAACTTCACTGGAATTATACTTGTCCTGAGTTTGACCCATTATCTATAATGTACAGATGACTTCTCTTTTTTTCCTGTACTTCAACTGATTTAGTGATAGCAGCCTACACAAATAATCAGGGAGGGATTTTCCTTGAATTTAAGTTTTCCTTCGAATTGTTCAATTGTTTTTAAGCTCCCACAGTAACTTTAACAGCAACAGCCGTTTTATAAAGAATACTCAGGAGCAGCTTAACACAATCATTATGTGCCTTTTTTTTTTTTTTAAAGTTATGCTTCACTGAAGTTATCCTTTACTAAACAGGAATGAACTAGATAAGCATTTTTTGTCAAATGAGAATTGATATAAATACATACGTAACTCAATGGGAAATTTCACAGTATCATCATAGAATGGTTTGGATTGGAATGGACCTTAAATATCACCTAGCTCCAACCCCTGACATGGGCAGGGACACCACCAGTACAGCTGCCCAGGGCCCATCCAGCCTGGCTTGAGCACCTCCAGGAACGGGGCACCCACAGCTTCTCCAGGCAGCAGTGCCAGCATCTCACCACCCTCATTGGGAAGAATTTCTTCTGCATTTTTCATTTTCATTTACATCTATTCTATTCTAAGTTTAAAGCTATTATCCCTTATCCTACCATATACTCCCCAGCTCTCCCATAAGCTTCTTTAGGTACTGGAAGGCTGCTATGAGATCTGCCTGGAGCTTTCTCTTCTCCAGGCTGAACAACTTCCTTTCTCAGCCTTTCTTCATAGGAGGAGTGCTCCAGCTCTCTGAACATCCTCGTGGCACATGAGGATGGACATGACACATCCTCCTTTTTCCCCCCCCCCCCCGTTTTTTTTTTTTTTATAAATATATAAATATATAATATATAATAATAAAATATATAATATATAATATTATATAATATTAAATATATAATATATAATAATATAATATAAATATAAAGTGACCTAAGACAGACCTTTATATGGAGCAATGCACTTACTGATTAGCTTATGAAGCAAAATATAGTGCCCTTGGTTTCAGTAAAGAATTCACATAAATAAACATGTGCCAGCATGAGCTTCACCATGGCCCTGCATGGCTGAGCACTTGGTATTGAGAGCAGCGGTCAACTAGCACAGTCTTTGCCAAGACTTCTTCCTTTATTTACTTTGGGCAACTCCCTGTCATTGTGCCTGGGTTACAATTTATCTGACTGTTTTAAGAGACTACATCAATTTCCCTTATATCAGACTGGGCAATGAATGTGGATTCATTTGTATTCATTACCATAAGATGATTAGTTTATTGTCTCTAACTGTTAGCTCCTATTCAGTATTATGCTCTGTATTTTCCTTATGTGGAGAAGGAAATATGTCTTTACCATACCTCAATTTAAAGCGGTAATCTGTGAGAGAAGGTTATTTGCCTTCATTTACAAACGTACTCTACTTCATTCATTAGTATTCCTATGATTAATGACTATGGTATTTCTGGAAATCATAATCGAGATTAGAGTTTGTTGTGCTATACAGATATGCGATATAAAATTTCCCTGTGATAATTTCTGATTATTCTACCCAAAATCTGTTATGTAAAATAAGCCAAACTCACTTAATGTAATTTTACTTCAGCATTTAGTCTTGCTAGCTTTCAGATTAATTGGAAGAGTGAAACCTTAGATATGTGATCCAGTTACTGTGGGTTTCCAACTTACTGCACGTCAGCTAACTCCTCTTCTTGACCATAGCCAAGGTGCTAAGTTCAACTCAGGCTATAGTGAAAGTAGGCTAATTTAACTCCAAGTAAGTCACACTTGCTCTAGGCTAGCATCATAGAACAGTTTGGTTTACAGCAGACCTTAAAGCCCATCCAGTTCCAAACCCCTGCTGTGGGCTGGCTGGCTGCCACCCACCAGCTTAGCTGCCCAGGATCCCATCTGACCTGGCCTTGGGCCCTCCAGGGACGGGGCACCCACACTCCTCTGGGCAGCCTGTAGCATGCAGTGCATCACCAGTCTCTGAGTGATTTACTCCTAATATCTAATCTCAAACTCCCCTCTTTTTGTTTAAAATGATCCCTCCTTGTCCTATCACTATCAGACTGTGCTTACTGTCAGTCCCCCTCCTTATAAGTTTCCTTTAAGTACTGGAAGGCTGCAGTGAGGTCTCCCCAGAGCCTTCTCTTCTCCAGAACAGGCCCAGCTCCCATTTCTTCATTGGAGAGGTACTGCAGCGCTCCAGTAGTCTCTGATAACCCACTCCAACAGCTGCAAGTATACAAGCATAGAAGTACACACGTGGACAGTTGCCATGACTCAGTCTGTATAAGCTGAGTGATGGTAAATCACCTACATCTGAGCCTTCGGATCCTGTAAGAATTTTAGTGTCAGTCTCAGGATTCTGGCTAAGTTTCAATTCCAGTGATTACATGTACACTAAAATTCTATTCAACTTCAGTATGAAAGAGTACTATTTATTTCCTAACACCAGCTGTTCTGTAACATGTCAATATCAGTGAGCAATTCTCTATTCTTGAGAGTTGCAGCTTTAAGCTATGAGAACAGGGATTCCTACTTGTGTGTGCAGTTAGGCACAGCTCCAGCACTCCACTGCCCACAGCTCTGGAGGAGTGTGGCTGGGACAGACCCCACAGCTGAGCTCACCTGCATCAGAGAACCAACTTGTATCTCTAGCAGGAGAAGATGAGGCCCACACTGCAGCTCATGTCTCTGGACCACTTCTCTTTAAGTGTCTTTTACTGATGATTTTGTACAGCATCCTTACAGGGTTCAGTGTGAACGATGCTGTCCGTTTTCCTAAGAATCAGAGTTACTATTAAGACAGAAATTGCCTCTATTAATTAAAAGTAGTGACACACTGAGCAGAAAATTATGTATATGCCGATAAATCCATTACTCTTGCCTTCTGTCCTTGGCATTGCAAGTTTTATATTAAACAGCTTTGCCATGCCTATTTCTAGTGATAAAAGATCACTAAACCTGAGAGCACTGCCTTATCACATCTTTACATAATGTCTGTCTACTAAGACCATTTGTCTGCAAAGTATGAATACAGCAGTCCGGTCAGTACAGAAGTTGGTGTCTCCAGAGGCTGCCTGATACCAGATACCAGAGAGATGGCAGTCATGCATGTTCACACTGGGCCTCCTCTGCATATGTTTTTTACATATTTTTACATACACTGCAGATGTGATTCATTTCAGACACCCTGGACTTATAACATGTAGGCAGATTTTCCTACATGAGAAAATGAGCCTGGTGCATCTGGGATGCACCACGTTTAAGATCTTTGTGAGTAAAAAACCTGCTGCACTCTGCCAGCTGCAGTTGTACAAAGCTCACAGGGAGGGTGGCTCTGACCTGCCAGGGTCAGCTATGCAGAGTCTATAGCTCTGCTGTTCCTGCCCAGAGATTGCAGGCTTCTGGGGAATAGATAGATTATTTCATCCCTCTTTTTTTTTCAGTTAGCAACAAAGTGGAGACATTTGGCTTTTCTTGCCTTTCTAAAGAAGCTGCCAGATTGTAAGACCTGGAATTTACCATATAAACCTAAGCTACTCTTCTTACAGATACTACTAATTGGTCTTACTATGCTGAACTGCCAAACTATAAATTACTTTCCACAGGTTTTATAATTTGTGATATTTTACTTCATTTGTTAGTTTGATATTGAAGGTGTACCACCATAATTACAGTAACACAACTACAACTGAGGTGTTGAAAACACATTTTGAAGTGAAAGCTTTCCAACTGAAATGTAACTTCAGTGAAAACATGCCATGGCTTTGTGTAATGATTTAACCAGCCGTAGTTTGTCCCATTTACTGCCTTCCCCCTCTCCTCCTCCCTTATATTGTAACCACTATCTGTTCTCCACCAGTTTCATAGATCAATTTTAGTAACTTTGGTGGTTATAAATATACATGACTCATACTCTGCAGGAGTCTCACTCCTGAAATTATAGTACTTCTATTTTACATCGCAGTTTATGTCCTTATTGTATTACTGTAGATGAAATCCCCCTGACAAAAGTATTTTTGAAACGCGGTAAGAAATGGACATATTCCATAGCACATTTGTTGTGAAAATGTTACAGCACTGAGAAATGTTCCAACATGAAGAAAGGAAACAGTAATTATTATGTACCAGTACTGCATTTTGTAGTCTTTAGTGAGACAAAATTGCTTTAAATGGCAGCCTTACCTAAATACAGGCTGTGCTAGTTAAACCATAACTTTTCCTCACATTGTTTACTCTCTATATTGTGTACTTATCACATCTTTTTTATTTGGCAAACAAAAATAAGATTGTAAGGCTTAGCGGAACACAGCTAAAATAATGAAAAAATGATCTTCACAATTATTTAGGCCTCTATGCAGGGCAAATCATGCACACCACAGCAGATATCTGCTGGACAATAAGAGAAGTAATGAGGTATTGAAATCCTGCATCTTTGAAGTTCTAATGCAATTTCCCCAACTCTGACAATGACACAATTTCCACGTCAATAGCAAAAGAACCATAGTACAGCAGGAGTGTGATGAAGAGTTTGGGATCTATTCCCATCTGGGAGCAGCTTGCTGGATAGGGCGAGATACATCAGCATTTTTACAGCCCCATAAGACAGTGTTTTGCTGGACAGCCAGTACTTTCATAGAAATGCCTAATGTAAAACAGGTGATTTTAAAAGCGTGGGCTATTCAACTGTTGTTTTGGTATTTATTTATTCAAACAGGTGTGATGCCGGGCTAGCCAGACTGTCTGCAGAGCACAAAATCACATACGAAAGACTTCAGAGCCTAACTAAAGACCAGCACACCTCTAAGTTGATCTTAGAATCGAAAATCAAAGAGACAGAAATACAGGTACAGTCGAGCCATGGTCTAACTCAAACAGATATCGTTCCTGTGAATTATTTTCCTGCCTACGAGGTCACAGATTCAAAGATGGAGGAGGGTCCTGGGGGGGCAATGAGGTAAAAAGGGTCGTGATTTAGTGGGGAAATATTGGTGCTGGGTGGATGATTGGGTTGGGTGATATTGGAGATCTTGTCCAACCTTAGTGATTCTATGCTTTATATATGCACATAGTCCTTAGATTAAGTACTGCTACACAGCTATGCTAATGCATTGGTCTGACTGGAAAAGTCCTTAAATTGCTGCCTTTTGCATGCTGTGGGAAGGCCCAGTATAGTATACAGGCACACCAGTGTGCTAGCAACGTATTGTCACGAATCTTGTAGAACTGAACAGCATCTTTGTAAATCTGCCACGGCTGCTTTTGTGGGAAATACTTTGTTAGCAGTCCTCCCAGCACTCCTATTTCTATCTTGTGAGACAATACATTTTTCATCACAAACCCTGCAAGCTGAATCACGTCGGAAGTGCCAGCAAAGCGGGCCTTTCGAGTCTCCCCTGCCGCTGGGAGTCAGGCTGGGTGGGGCGGCGGCTGACGGCGCGCTGCGTTCCAGGTTTCGCACCTGCTGAGCCGCGTGGAGCAGGCGGTGGCGCAGCAGGAAGCCAAGCTGAAGCTGGCCTACAAGGAGAGCGCGCAGCAGCTCCACCTGCTGGACACCAAGTGAGCGAGCGGAGCGGGGCCGAGGCGCGGGGCGGCCGCGGGGGGCGGGGGAGGAGGGCGGCAGGGCCGGGGGGGTGGAAGCGAGGGCCCCGCTTTTCCGAGTCTGGGCTGTGCGGCCTTCCGCTAAGGAGCAGCTCTGCAGCCGCATTTACCTGTCTGCACACGTGCGTGTGCTCAGCTGTTTTACAAAAGCACGCTGATCTGACCGGTGCCCCCTCCTTTCCAGTGGAAATTACACCCTTCCCGTGGCTGGACACTTCTGAAAACCCCGCTGGGTCCCTAGCTAAGAATTCAAGTAGGATTGTATTAAAAACCAGCTCTAAATTTTTGCAAAAGCATCCCAGTACCTTTTCTGACCGTGTGAAGCACTGAGCGCCGCAGTCCAAAGCTGTGCTCTGACCGCAAGGAAGCTCAGCGCTGAGCTCACCGAGTGCTCTTGCTTTTAAGTGACTCTAAAGAGAACTCAAATACTCAAATTAGTAAAGTCACTGTGTTACTGCCAGGCTCTATCTAGAGCTATGTTCAACTCAGATACTAGCTCCTGTCCTTGTGCCTCATTCAGCCTTTCCTCCTGCCTGCCGATTGCCACCCTCTTGACATCCCATCAGCTACAGCACTATGGCTGTTTGTAAACCAGATGGGAGAGCAGATCCAGATTGCAAATGTTCAGTGGAAAACAAGTGTGCCCGAACGGATGGCATAAATGTGAGGCAGATGAGGCAGTGCAAGTGGGGCTGTATGAACTGACACTGCCAGTTACATAAGTGGTCGTCAGATCTTTGCTCAGATTTGAGATTTATGAAGATGACTGCATTCCATTTTCAGTGCTACAAAGAATCTGCGTCTAACGAACCTCAAAATGTTGTGATGTTTCATATAAATAGCTGCTATTTTGTTGTGGTTTCCTTCTTTAATTTTCAAAACAGTGTTGCCTTATCCAATTTAGTAGCAGTCATTAAATCTTTTCTTATCATAAAAAAAATCACTGCAGAATGACCGAAACTTCTGCTCTTACCATTTCCTAAATTGCATTATGTTCTCAGATTAAAAAATGCTATTGAAGAGCTCAGCAGCCAGATTTTGTCTGCACGCAGCTGGTTGGAACAGGAACACGAGAGGATTGAAAAAGAGCTTGTGCAAAAACTTGACCAACTCTCATTGACTTTTAAGGAGAACACAGTAAGTTTCATCCCAATGTCCTAGTAATACTTCTCAGGAAGTGTTCAAAAGCATTATGAGTTACAGGGATGTTATTTGAGTGAGACTCTTAGACCTCACTAACATTTGCAGAACTCTCTCTCTTTTCACTGATGTCTAGTGTAACATTCACCACAGACTGAGGGTCCTGACATACATCTGATCACTTTGAGTACATCACTATTTTACCCTTCTATCAAGTCATTTTAAAAAGCTTACTGAAATAAATTTTAATTTGTTGCACCTGCACCTTTAAATTCCACCTAATAAAAGGTGCATATCTGGGGAAGGCCACTCATTTAATGCACATGCTAAATCATTAAAATTATTTTCCCTGGCTCCAGGAAATGAGTGAAAGAGCTATAGAGATGAAATTCAGCCAGATGTCAGAGAAAATCAACAAAATAGAAGAAATACAGAAGATAACCATGGAAGCGCATGAAACACAACAGACTGAAGAAAAGATAAATATTCGCATTGGCAAACTGCAAAACGAGATTAACGAAGATATAAAAGAAATGAAAGCTGAAGTTAATGCTGGTAGGGCCATAATTAAACAAGATCTTCATTCTAAATTGTGGTAATGTTGACCTTTAATATTGTACAGAACGTCTGTGCTCGTAACAAAGTAGTTTAAAGACACTGGGCTGCATCTGTGGCATTCAAGAGGATTTTCATTAAGTGTGAAACTCACAGCAGCAAGAGGTGACATCAGCTTAGAATTGCTTCCCCCAAACCTACATTGGCACAGTTTGCTGTGATCAGGGGCATTTTGCCATTAGTATGCCAGCATAATGAAAGTCCTATTTTTCTTCAGAACATTTGCCTTCTTCCTAGTGGAAAACTGAATACTGTGGTAGGAAGAATATTCTGTTATCAACTATGCCATATTATTACTGCTTTAGATTACAAACTAATTTATCTCTCATCTGTAATTAGGGTTTGCAGCTATCTATGAGAGCATTGGATCTCTACGGCAAGTTCTAGAGGCAAAAATGAAACTTGACAGAGATGAACTACAGAAGCAGATCCATCAAATGAAGCAGGAGGTTCCAATGTGGGGAGAGGCTGGACCATGACCGCAAGATTTTGACTGAGATGAACACTTACTTATCTGAATAGGCAGACTATAGCCTTGTTCCAGTCTGTAATCCAAATTAAATGCATGTACTGAAGGACATGCTGCTGTTGCACAGGTCTGTATGTTTACTTTGAGTGGTAAATGCAAGCTTTTAATATACCAATTGACAAGAAGCTTTTATGGGCTGAGGTGCTCATTTGCCACTGCACTACTCTAGCTGCTCTCAGGAGATTACCAGCTGTAAAACTGGAGTAATATATTGGTGAAGCTGGCACCTAATTTGCTAACAGCGTTTCAGTGCTCCCCAGTTGTGTAGGCTTGATCAGGCTATTATATGCTTATACATACATAAGCATCTGCGCCCCTGCTTTTTTTTTTTTTCCTTCCTTCCTTTTTATTTAAAAACAAAAAGACAGAAAAACCCAAACCAGGTTGATATCACCTGTGTAGTATCAGTTTGGCAAGGCTCTCCACCTTGATATACATTACTGTCTTTGAAGTTGATGGACATTTTTGCAGTGACTTTCTCTGTCATTACAGGACATTGACTCCTTGTGAGGCAAAACTGGCACTGGACAGGCCCATTTTCAAAACCCTTTTTGTTTAGTTGTGCAAATATCCTGCGTGCGCACGTGTGTGTAAACTAAATAGCATTACATAATGTAGTTGTAGACTAAAAATGATTCATGAACAATGTAAAAAACAACGTGTGGTCTTAGGTATTGTGACCTTTTCAGATGAATAACCAAGTGGACTTGAGACGAGACAAAAATATTTATATAACAGTATTTTTTACTTGGGCATGTGTTCTTGTGACTTGTTTCATTTTATTGATAAAAGCTTTGAAAGGTTTGAAAACAAAAGAAAGTGATAATCTAACAGTCTGGAGAATGTGATGTAAAATAAAATGCAGTTTATGATCAGATTAGACATTTCTCTGAAGTTCAACAGCTAACTCTTCAATAATTTAGTAGGTTTGATTTTGTAATTGAGTTCACAGTGTTTCCAAATAATAACGGCCTATTTTCATTCCCATAGCAGATAACACACTGAAAATAAGCACTCATACAAAATACTAGCCTATGTGGGAAAATACATATTTTGATTTGATATTATCAGCCACAGCTTCATTTTCCTTATCTTTTCAAATCATGTAGCATTAAGCACTCACAAAAGGCTTCATCTGGCATCCTATTAACTTGTACAGGTCACAGTAATTCATATACAAAAATGCTATTCGTTTATACAAGCATTACTGCTAACTTGTACAAATTGATAGGATGTCTTCCCACTGTCTTTGTAGGCTGATTGTTTTTCTGGCTAATGCTGCAAAACTAGACTCTTAGTTGGACAACCTGTGGCAAGCGTTTCTCCACTTCTATGGAGTAATCTATGGCCCACAAACTTACCATAGTAAAATAAATAAAGGCTCTAAAAACATTCCCATTGCCTTCACTAGGACAGTATACTGTGGGAAAAAAAATAATAATCAAGAAAACACACACTAATCTTTACAAGATTACTGCCTAAATTTGTATCCACTTCCTATGTAGTTGTAAGTATTTTAATGCAAAGATACCTGAAATTTTTGCAACTCTGACTTCTAGTGCTCTCCGATAACCACACTGCCTCTGTTATTCCTGTTCTATACCAGCCATGTACTGTGAAGTATATTTACAATGGCAGCTAAAAGAGAAGCCCTGTTCACTAAAGGAAGACAGTGAAATTCTCACAGAGGTGTCTTGGGAATTGTCTAAAAATTAATTCTTTCTTCACATATCCTTCTCTGTTCTTAAATATTTAGCCAGGTGCAATGGCAGTGCTATCTCTGGTGTTCTGTAAAATTAACAAAAACCCTGAAGAGATGGAACAAAAACTCAACACTTTTTCTTCTGTAGCTGCAAATACCCTAGAGAGTATTGTACAATACACAGAAAAAAAAGGCATAAAGGGAAACAGATAAACAGTTACATATGAATTTAATAAAATGTTTCTCTTATAAAATGTTGTGTGATTCAAGGTTATATTGAATCGCTATGACCCTGCAGGGAAAACTCCTTAACTCCTGCTCCTTCGATGAACTCCAATATGTTATGCTGGAGATTGGTTTTGTTCCACATGCTTGGCTATGATGCCATTATTGCCTGAATTGCAGGACAAGACTGGAGGGTCTTCACAGTTTGTGCTTACTATAAAGCTTAAGCAATATCGAAAGTCATCATACAGTGAAGCAGATCTTTAGTCCCTCCCTGGCCTTTCATTTAATAGAAATTCAATGATGGTACAAAGGCGTGCAACATTTTTTCCTAGGGGATACATGGCCTTTGAACAAAGAATAAGAAAAACCAGGAAACCCAAAGATCTGCTGAGCCCTTCCAAGCCAGCATGCGAATTTGGATCAGCAGGTCCACCTCTGGTCCCTGAAGGAAAATTCCCCTCTCAAAAAAACTCCCTGAGCTCAATAGAGGAGCTCAGACAGCAATTCTTACCTCACTCACTCCTTTCTGGAGCACACAGAGCACAGGAGGCAGGTAAAACAACTACACTCTTCTAGGCTGAGTTCTCCTTATGGAAGAGTTTACAGAAGCAGAAATTTCAGGGGTGTTCAACTCAAAACTATGCTACTGTAGGGTGTCCCCATTCTATAAATCTAAAGCCAAATATCACATCAGTATAACAGCTTCCAGCAGCATGAGATTAAGAGAGCAGGTAGGAACTGCTGCAAAGTACAACTTTAAATGATGAAATATCTTTGTGATTGAAATCAAGACCTGCATTTCCAAGAATGTTTCTGAAATCAGATTACTTTCTCCTTCTTCCTTTCTCTTCACCATTTTTCAGAAGTCACCATTAAAAATATTGATAATAGTGTAGCTGAAAGCAAGTATAAATAGAGCACACAGTGAGCCAACAAATCCCAAAGTTCTAAGAGATATCATTTGTAAGCTTAGGTGAGATAGAAGAAAATGATCAAGTGATGCCAGCACTTTTGATTTGCATTTTAGGGAGCATTTGCTACCATACTTGAACATATAGGATTCAGCTCTGACTATTCTTAAAACCAAATCAACCCAAATGCCAAAGCAAATCCAAAGAAGAACCCTTCCTAATACAGCAAAAAGAACTGGTGCTATACAGAGTGAATGGAAGAACTCTTGCTGAGCAGAGGGACTTCACATTTACTGTTGCAGAACCCACCAGCTATCTATGCCCTATCCCATAACATCACTGCTATGGAAGGTGTAGGGACCAGGCTAAAGCAGACCAGTTCCTCTCGTGAGATAAAAAACGTAGTTTTGTCAGCTCCTCAGCTCACACAAAGCTTTAAGCACTTGCAGTCTGCAGACCACAGGATTCAGTCTGAGTGACATGACAAAGCATCTGTGGGTAACCTCATGAAAATCCTTCTAACTGGAGTACATGCCTCTTCCTCATGTGGTACCACAGCAAAACTACAGCACCATGCATCCAGAAGTTACTGGAAAATGAACTGTCAATAGTGACAGAATAATTGTGTTATTTACACTCATTAGGCAAGTTAGTGATGCAAATAAAATTAAAAAAGATGATCTTGAATTCAACACCCAGTTGTTTATGTAGTGCAGTTTGACATCACTGATAGTAATCCAATAGTGATGCAATTCAGTGGACACAGTTTTGACATTAGAGAAAAACAGTGTGAAAGAAAACATACAGCAGCACACGTTACACCAAGTCAAACCGAACCAACCTTGTCTCAGTTTCTACATTTTTCTGTTGGCAGTCAGCAACAGAGAATGCTCTCCTTATCTTCAAATTAAAGTGCTCAGAAGACACGCGTTCCAATTACAGAAGTGTCTAGTAAGAGACACGAAAAATGGATGAAGTCCTCCTACGCACAGAGAAGGTGTTTCTCCTGTGACCTTCTCTGTGGCATAAGAAATCTAGAGGCAATTTCAAATAAACGCAAAGAAATTCAGCAACTCCTCTATTAAACAGGCCACTGGGTGTCACCATTACTCCTGTCAAGTAAAGAAAAGTGCTGGCTTTACTGGGACGATCCCTAACAATATCACAACTTGCAGGCTCACCTCAATTTACAAATTACTACTCATTTGGACAACTGAAAAAAGACATTTGGAACCTTCTGAAGCTTCAGTACAGACTGACATTTCATTAACTAGAATTCTGAGGGAGATTGGTGTGATCCTTTAGACCGTGCAAGGAACACCAAGTAGAAACCAAGGTCCTTTGCTATCATTTCTGTCAGCAAAACTTAAGTCAACACATGGCACTAAAAGGTAAGGTAAAACCAGATGAAATTTACTGGCAGTTCTTCTCAAATAGAGGATCTTAAAAATCATACAAAGCTCAAAGATCAACATGCATTTCAAACAGGTCATTTCAGGAGCAGCTGCTGGCATGCAGGGTTCTTATCCCAGCACTGCCTCCCCTCCTGAGAGGGGCTTTGGCACGAGGACCACAGGGTAATCCAAACAGTTGCTAGCAGATGATGTTCTGGGCCTAGTGCAAAATGCTGCTCTCAAATCCATGCAAGAATAATCTCAATATAATAATATTGGAATAGCCTTAACAGTGCAGAAATACTTGAGAGAGCTGTAACTTTTGCTGGCAGAGATCAGTGAAGAAAAAAAAAAAAAGAAAGTATTTTGAGTTCAGTGCAGCATCACTGATGCATGCCAAACCAAGATCTGGTTTCAAGAAGAAAATCAAAGCTGTAATTGCCACAACACAGAAAGCCTATAGCAAAGCCATGAGAGACATCTGGAACCCAGCCAGCTTGCTGAAGAGAGACTAGAGTCAGGTTTGGTTAGGCTGCAGAACTTGTACAGTCAGACACTGTATGCTGCATTTGAAAGAATGAACGTGTATGAAAACAAGGAAAGGAGATTGAGGCTCCTTCAGAGACTGAGAAAAAGATGCTAAATCTGTACAATTCCAACAGCAATTTATACTGAGCTGATTTAGTACTTCACTCTGTCTTTTCCTGCAGTTTCAAGCACTACAAGCATATCAGCACCTGCCTGTTCCTGCCCATGTGGGTCCTGACAGAAGTTTTCAGGAAATTAATACATGAAGAGGTGAGGCCTAAACCAAAACACCACAAATGAAGTCATCTACAACACATTAAGACAATAAATCTGTACTCACATCTGGCATCTATATACATAATCAGAACAGCCCTGTAGTGAGGCAGTACCCTGAGGCTGGGACACCCCATCACTACACAGCCTGTGCTGTTGCTGCATTGGCACTTCTGTGGGCAGCTACAGAGGATGCTCCATTTGCTGCAAAAATTTAAAGGGTTCAACAACTACAAACGTTACAATATACACATCTGCATACGTAACACTTAATTCCTATATAGTCCCATACTCCTTTCTTGCTCCCCAGGTCTGAGATTTGCAATTCCAGTACGTTGTGGGCACCTTTTGTAATATATAAACCAGGACATTCTAAGAAGGTATAACCAAGTAGAGCATTTAAAATGCAGGTAGCTGAAAACAACAGAAGTTAAATATTCTATTCCACTATCATGTTCTTAGAAGGTAGATGCTAACTTGTTCACTACTACAATTAATAAACCCTATTCAGTTCATAGAGATCTTATGGGGGAAAACTGACCACTTCGTATTTTATACAGTTTTGAATATGTGGAGCACTGTGACCCAATTCCACACATGCTTTCCTTTCAGAGATTAATCTCACTAAATTGAATGTGGCAGCTCACAGCATATAGTAAGCTGCTTGCTTACCTCTTTGCATGTATAACACTTCACATTATAAAATAAAAGTGATAGTTGGTCTCTGGTATGGTCTCCTGGTATCTTGTCACATCAGCAGCAAAAAGAACCCAAAAACAAACAAACCCAACCACTAGGTAACACTTGGGGTTTCCA